GGGACGGCTAGCGCAGATAGCCCTAGTGTAGCTTTGCGCGAAATTCAAAAACAAACAAAAAACAAACAAACTATACATTTTATTTTGTGCTTGCAACCTTTATTTTCATTATACTTTGATTACTTACCTTCAACCTGGAGAATCAAGTATAATATTACAGTAAAGAAAATAACCAATAAAATATAAAGCTTTACTGAAAATAAAAAGTTTGATATTTAATTACGAGGTTTTTTTTTTCTTCACTATTTATTATTATACAAGTAACTAAAATCATAAAAATAAAAACTTATTAGGTAAGATAATGAAAGAAAAATAATAAAAATCTTCATGGGGTATACACGCCAGCATCTTGTATGTTATTCAATGTGGTAACATGAGCTGTACGTGTGCCATGTAATTTTCAAATTGTGTCAGGGTATTTTTTGTCAGACACGGTTCAAAGGTCAATATAACAAAAATTAATAAATATAAATAGATCTATACTGTTACAAGATGTAAGCTATTTAGAATGACATTTATGGTTTCCTGTAACAATATGCAGTTATTCTAAAACCAAAAAATAAGATAATTTAGATTTATTTCTCATTTTTATGATGGTTACGATGTTGGTCAAATCGACCAACATGACATGGAGTTAATATTGATAAAATAACAGATTAAATATATAGTTTTATCTTAAAAACATTTGATGACAGATATAGAGATTATGCAAATGAAACTTCACAAATTTCAGATAAAAGTATTTTTAATCTTAAAATCAAAATTACTTTGCATGTTGGATAGTCTACATTCTGAAAGAAAATATTCAAGAGAAAATATTTAATAAAAAAATCTTAATACTTAATTTAAAAACTTGATATTTTGTGTATGAAATCTTTGGAATGACTAATAATCTGCAAAATATTGTAAAGATTCATGTACATCATCAAAAATTATAGTACAATTACTCTCATGAATACTTTCGTGGTTACAAGCTGAGTGAATTCCCCCTAGCCCATATTCATAGGGTTAACTTGTTTAGTCTTTCTTGATTTGACTTGTAATCAAGAGTTTTATTGCATTACTTGCTGAGTGGACAAATTTCAGTCTATTCACAGTAAGTAAAATACATTTAGTGGGTTTTATTATTAATCAGTTACCTAGTTATTGCTTAACTTCCAAAAGCCAATGATATATTAGAAAACCAATAGACTTAAAAATTTGCTACAAAAACAAGTTGTCTGTGGATGCTTTTTTTTTTCTTCCACATTCCTTTTAACTTTTCCATTTCTAATCGTAAGAATACTTTGTTATTGTTTCGAAAAGGTTGCTCTCCGCATATTTGGATCAGATTTCCAATGGAAGTTAGGGTTTCATTGTTGTACTTTGGTATTGTAACTTTTGTACCATACTATAGTCCCATTTTCCTAATGTTGTGAAGATAAGATTGATTTCCAGATACCCATTTTTCATAAATGGTGATCTCATGTGATAACGATTAAAGATTCTGTATGCATTCTTGTTTTGAAAAGGTTCTTCCTAGTCTCTTTTAGTTTATGTATGTACCTTAAATACCTCACATAATGGTTGGAGATGGCTGGAATGGGTAATGAAGAAAAACTTTAATATAAGTTTAACATAACAGCAAATGTACAACGTTTCAACAGGGTTTTGTCATTATCATCATCGAATTTGAAATACCTCACATGTTGCTTCATGTCTTTATTTCCTCCTTTGGGGGTTTCCTAGATGGATCAAATGGATCTTGTATTTCAAAACTCTCTTGTACTTGTTTATAAAGTTTCTTCAGCATTGGGGATTTTATAAACTGAATAAAGAACCCACATGGAAGTTATATTTTGTTCTTGATCAACTTGTGGAGTTCTCATTTGCTTGGACTAAGCTGTTACAGTATTAGAGTGTTTCTTGTGTATGAATAGAATTGCCTTAATTTTCTTTAGTATAACTGAATCTTTCTCCACATGCTGTTATTGTTTGTTCAACTATCACTCTTCTATCAGTATTTTTCTCATTGTCTTTCTGTTGCCTCTGTAATTTCTAACCTTGATTTGACTATTGTTAATGAACAACTATAACCTTCTTGTTGTTTGTCCCTTAAACATCCAGTAGCCTGCATTAGTATGTACTATATTTTTCCCTCTTCCATACTTCATTCTGTCAACAATAAGTATCTGCTCCTTTGCTATGTAGGAACTTAAATTTCATGCCTTATTTATACCTATTATAGGACAAATGTCTGTACTTTGTTTTTAAATCATATTTCTATGTTATCTACCATTACAAACACTGATCAGTTTTAAGTGTCTCTCACATGGCTTAATTCTTGCTATATTTTGACTCTTTCAAAAGTTGGTCTACACCATGTTTTTCATTTCTTTTTTTATAAGGACTTCAGCTGGTGTTTCTTTTGGAAACAGCTACCTAATTTTTTTGAAAGATAAAATCACATATTGTTTGTTGTAGTCTTCACCCTGTTTTCATTTTGCCCAAGCTCTGTTTTTGCTAACTTACTGTTTTTTAGGTGAGTGTAAGTAATAGCTCTAATGCTATGCTGGATATCATTCATGTAATCACACAAGTCTGATTATTAATTAATTAATATTTATTATTATTATTAAAAGATATTAGTTGCTAATTAGTTTGTTACATAAGTCTGGATGCTTATAACTCTAAAAACTGTTTTTGAGATTCATTGTGGGCACAGCACAGATAGCCCATTTTGTAGTTTTATGCTTAACAACAAACAAACAAATTGTTTAAAGGCTTTAGACAGCAATACCCTATACCCAAGCTGATGTAGATTGTTTTTTACAATCTCTCCAAGAATGTATTATTATTTTAGGTTCAGTGGTCACTTTATTTTGGCTTCTATAATTCGAAAGATCCATTCATGACAATTGAAAATGAGATTTTTGAATTTGCTTTTAGGTTCAGTGGATTTCACTCTTGGGTGGCATTAAATTAATGATGTGTACATTTGTTACTGCATATTTCTTGCTTATACTTTGGTTGATGTGATCAAGCATTTTCTGTGTTTGCCCACTTGAGAGATAAGTTATCTCTACTGACTTATTGCATCACTTTCCCAGGTGGATATGAAGCAGCTTTTCCATCTGTACCTCTAATTTTGCATGCCCTCTGGATGTTTTCAACACGTTGGATTTAAATAATTTATCTTACAACGTCATTCCTGCAATTACACATCTGCCTTATCATTTTGGCCTTTTTTCCTACACTAGAGAAATTTCTTTTGAAAAATATGCTGACACAAATGTAGGCAGGTAGGATATTGACTAGAGCTGGCAATTAACTTAATTAATCAATAATTGATTAGCTGATTAGCATCATGTAAAATAATTGATTAATCAAAATTATTAGTATATCAGTTAATGTCATGAAAATAATCAACCTATCAAAATAAGTGTTTCCAGCTGTTACTGTTTTCAATTATTCCAACTATCCAAGCAATCAAAATATTGCCATTGTGATTTCTCATTATTTTTGGTTAATTCAAGGTTGTTCAGCTTAATGATGCACAACCATAATCAACTAATTGAAATAATATTTTATTGATTATTCCAAATATCCAACTGTTATTTGAGAGTAATTAATTAGTTTAATATAATTGATTAATGTGTCTAATGACTAATAGGTTAACAAATTACACTAATTGCCCAGCTCTAAATTGACCAAGATGAAGGAAGTACATGTGGTTGAAGTGTAATAGGCTTGATCTTGGTTGAAGGCTTGTGATGAATGGCTGATCTTGCCAAATTCTCATGTGATAAAGATTGAGAGATCATGCAATATCTAAGGGTAGGGTGGGAGAAAGTAGAAAAATCAACAAAAGCAAACATTTTAGCAACTTATTAGAAAATCTAGATGGTTATGGTAATCACTTGAATTTTATTTTCAAGTGAAAGTTTTAACATTTAATATGTTTGTTTTTGATATGTTTCAGATATGGAATTTTTACTACTCAGAACGACTGTATATTCTTCTATGTTTGAAGCATATCCTTGGGCACTGGCAGGATACATCACATCCATACCAGGTGAGATTCATATCACATAAGTTTGAGTGATTTTTATTATGTTTTCTCTAAAACAAATTTCAATGACTAATTGTGTGCAGCCTTCATTTAAGTTCTGAATATAATGTTTATAAATTGTATTAAAAATGCAGAGTATTATCATTAATGAATTTGGGCATTTTGTAGCTATATATATATATCACATTGAACTGCATTTCTGTGTGTTAGGAACAAGATGATCTTAAAATACAGTTAATAAATGTTTGCCTGATGTAAAATGTTTTATTTATTTGAATTGTTAATTATCTTATCTTGTTAAAAATGTACTTTTCTATTGCTCAGAATGTTTGTCAATAATTCATATATTAGTTATGAATTTGTGTATTAACAGTTTAAATTTTTCATAATTCTCAGGAACTCTACGAAGGATTTCTAGAAACTATAAATAAGGAAGGGGGTCTTGTACATAAGGTAGGCCTATTGCACAATCCCAAGCTGTAATATTTTATGAAAAAGATATAAGAAATGTTGTTTTGTAACTTTATTAAAGATTCAATAAAATGCTAAAAATGTAAGATAGAACAGTGTATATCTTTGTAATTACTTTCTTTATAATGTAATTTTGATTAAAATGAATAGAAAGATCATTTTTTTGTACCAGTAAATGAGCAGAACCTGCTTATTTTAATTTCCGGGTTATTTTTTTAACCCTTTTCAGCCTAGGAAACAGTATATTATCATTTCTAGATTTTAATTCACAAAAATCAGTAACTCATAAATGACACCATATCTGTAACAAATACACTTCAGACATAAAGTGTGATAACCATTCAATGTTTTTGAATCTAAATCAGTACCCAAATCAAGCCTTCCCGAGAAATTGGCTAGTTCTGATGTTGAAAGCACTTCAGTCATTCATTACATGTATGTGCAGTAAAGAATCAGGTTTCTTTGTTATTTTACTTTAATAACAATTATGTACAGTCTCTTAGTTCCTTTTCAATTTTTCTGTCATCTGAAGAATGTATAATTCATCTGTTGACTATTAGTATACCTGGATATCATATGACATAGAGATGATTGTAAATTACTAGAAGCTAATATAGTTAAAATAGAGAAATGTGAGATAGCAAGATACGTAGAAAAGTTTGTAAGGAAAATGGAGATTTGTATAATAAAGGAAGAAAGAAAAGTGTAACATTGGAAGAAGGATAAAAAGAGTATTGGAACTTATTGGGAAAGGAAAGAGGTTAAATGCATGTATATAATGAAAGATTTTATCTTTTTATGTGATTTCTATACAGAGAGAGTGAAGAGTAAACAAATTACAGGTGTAAAAAAATGGAAAAGAAAGAATTGATAAAGTAATAAAAAATGAAATTGAAGGAATGAGTTTACTGAACAGGTTTTGAAAACAGTAAGTGATTCATGTGGAAAAGTTATTTTAATTCTTTGTTTTCTTTACCGTTTTAGTTAATTAATCAGCTAGAAACACTAACAACATTGGAAGGGCCTATCAGAGATACTCATGGTCAGTACATGGTAAGTCAGATAGAAATCTTTATTTGATATGTGTTTGGTAATAAATGTTTAAAAATATTACTGAAACAGTATAGGTGAAATAAAAGTATGGAGATTTATTGCATAAAATCTGCCTCAGCAGTATTTGGAGTCAGGTACGGCCTGGTTGTTAGTTGTGTATTGAATTATAGATTAATGGCTCGCAGCTTGTTACTGTAAAATTGTGTTTTGCACTTTGGAGTATAAGAAGGCTTAACAACCTCTAACACCAACTCTTATGCTACTCTAATTGAATAGTGAAATTTGACCATCAATTCACTGTGGCTGGGACGTATATTTCTCATTGCTCCCACCCCTCACATTGCGACTGGGACAAATGTTTCCCTTTGTCGATGCTGTTTACGCTTTCTTCTGCTGGGTCCAGGTTCATCATCCTGACTCATCACTAGATGGAAAGCTAGCATCCTCTTGTCTCATTGCTTCTTCATCATCATGCATTTGAACACCACTTGACCCACTTTCACTATTTTCTGAGCTATCTGAGTCAAGTGCATCAAGCATAATTACATAGTAATTAGGGTTACTACTCACCACTCTAGCTATGCGAGCACAGTCAGCACGCAGTTGTCATACATTCCATTTACGTGTCTTGTTGGTTACTGAAAGGCTGATTGGAAAACATTGAGGGAAACCCTATATCACCATGAGGTGGGATACCAATAAATATCTTACTACTAATTTTACTTCCATACATCACCCGCAGCAATTATGAATGACTGTTGCAGTGTGGGGGGTGGGAGCACTGGGAAGTATACTTATTATTATTATCAGTCATTTAACGCTTCTGAAATAAGTTTTATATAATAAGCCATTATTCTGAAACTATATAAACCTACAAGAAAGATATACACTTGGTCTTCTTTTTTTATCTTTATTATATTTATTGTTCTTAGTCATTTCTTTTAATATTGAAGTTTAGTCACTATGTATTATTATTATCAGTCATTTAACACTTCTGAAATAGGTTTTATATAAAAAGCCATTACTATGAAGCTGTATAAACATATAATAATGACAGATGCTTAGTCTTTTTTTAATCTTTACTATATTTACTTCTTTGAATATATAACTTTGTTTCATATGTATTGTTATTGTCATTTAACTTTTCTGCTTTGTTTGTTTCAGGTATTTGTACAAAGCTACACTAGAGGTATCTGTAATTGCATTTGCCACCCCAATTTTGGAATGATAGGCTAGAGAAAAGGCAACTAATTAACCCTTTCACTGTGGCTGGTACTACACATTGAATAAACTTCAAAATTAAATGAAATGAGTGAATACCAGAAAAAAAAGGACATATTTATACTTTAACTGTATTTTTTATGTAGTTTTAACTATTCTGAATATTTTGCTGTTTTCATATCTAGTAAGTTTTTTTTCGTTTAAAAATATGTCATATTAAGTTAATTTTTTTGTATATAGTTAATGAGTTCATTTAATCTTGAATAAGAAGAATTTGTGTATTTCACTATTTTTTTATGATTTTTATATTTTGAATTAGTTTTGTTTATGTGTCTATCCAGCAATAAAATTTCAGTGATGTTTATTTCAGACTGAGAATCTTACATACAGCTGGGTGACCTTCAATTTGAAGGAACAGGTAAATTCTGTTATTCAAATCACAATCAATACACTGTGGTTACCATTTAGATTAAGAGATTTGTATGAAACATCTATTTGATCCATTGATCTCAAAAATGTTGTTTATTCCATTGTAAAAAATTAGTAGATAAATTAATTTCATTTTAGAATCAATGTATGCCTAGATACAACACATTTTTTATAAATACACATTGGTTAAAGTCACTTTTAGGTTTCAGTGGTTTACCAATTTGAATATATATTTTTTGTTCTTGTTACTGCTTCTTCTGATCTCTTATTTCCAGATGTAATTTTTATTGATCCTAACTGATATTTTTTGTCCAGCTTTTGCTGTGCAGGTTTATTATTTTAATCAGTCATTTATGATTTTATTTTGATAACTTTTTTCTCTGTTTACATTAACCATTAGTTGTTTCACTCAGTTTTTTTTAGTTGCTGTCAGTTCTTATTTTTTATCTTAGTTGTATCTCTGAGGATTAATTTCTTTTAAAGAGGTTTGATTTTATTATTGTTTTCTGTCCTTGGATTCTTATTCAGACTTAAAAAACTGTAAGTGTGTGTATATTATATATATAATTCAGTTACCCCTCTTTGAGTTTAATTTTAGTTATCTTTATTGATTTTATCCTAGGTGTTTTTTATATATATCTACTTTGATCTCTCACCTTCAGAAAATTACACATCACTAAGACTCAGTAATGGAAACAGTTCTTAACAAATTATATCTGTATTAACTTATTTGTAATATATTGTGTTTTAACTGTGTTTGATAAGATTTTTAATTTTAATTAATTTCTAAGTAATTTTGATGTGATTTACAATAACCTGTGCTTATAATAAGTGCATCTAATTTGATACCATATTATGGAATTGTGGATGGCTGTTATAAATAAAAAAAGAATAATGATACTTGTGTACGTATTTAGTGTGAGCTGCTTCAGCTGTTGCTGCTGTACTACAGAGAAATGGAACCAGCTGTTGAAGAAGTCCAACAGTTATTGACCATTTTTCAAGTAAGAATAACATGCAAATTCTTTATAGTTTCACATTTTATATTTTAGAATACATTGACACAAATGTCTTAAATCCAATATTTAGATCAAATCCATATTTTCTGTAAACAATTAGGATTTAAATTGATTACTCTGAAAGTGGGATTTATGTTACATTATACAAGCACTATCACTAGTGTGGAAATAGAACTTCATCATCATTACACTAGAAACATTGTATTTAATAGTAAAATAACAGTTAAATGATCATACTATTGCCCTAGGTATCCTTTATTGTGCATGAGACAAGGTTTTAGTGTCTTACATTCAAATTGTTATTAAGCTACTTTTTTATGTTATACCATTTATGATAGCATAAAATCTTAGCTAATAATCTATATTTTAATAGTATATAAGTTTTAAGTTCTTAATTCTACAAGGTAATATTAAAAAAATTCCTGAATTTCCCATAGAGTGACACATGTGACATTTTTTTCTAGGCATCTTATCTCCTATATTTTATCCACCACCCCTTGGAAAAGTACAAAATTAAATATCAATTACTCACTATAAAATTCTCATTGCTCCAACAAACCATTTTTTTTATAGTCTTCAATTTTGTTTGGTTACAGAGCTATTGAATAGAAAATCAAACCCCTCTTGCCACACTCACCTGTCACATCTTCTCTTTCACGATTTGTTAATAGTTCTCTCTTATGTTTAATCATATATTACCTATAACCAATAGAAAGTCAAGGTTTTCATCTATCAAATGATGTATTGTATAATGTTATATTCTGAACAGTTAAATGGCAATTTCACTCAGAGTAACAACATCATTCCAGTGAGCAAGTTAACAATTAGCTTGGATGAACTTGTAACGACTCTTGTCGCATAGTTAGAAAGCCAGAAAAATTTTGAGAGGTAAGAGAATTTGTCTACTTTTTGCATGTTATTAGTCTATATTCTTTGGTGCATTATTCAATTAAATAAAAATTATTATGTGAATTACTATCATTAGTATATAATAATTAGGGTTAACTCTCTTCGACAATCAACATCAAGAAAAAAGAAGATTGGTTATGTATTTTATTTCTTGTTTTTCATGTTTATTCTTTATGTATAATTATAATAATAACTGAAATGTAAAAATAGGGATCCTTTTATGTTTGTCAAGATTAGATTTCGTAAAATATATATATATTATAATAATAATTTTATAATAAAAATGTTTTACGAGGCACACATGCAAGCAGCTCGTGGGTAATGTAATTCCGTAGCATAATGTGAGCTGCACGTTCCCCCGAGATATTGACAACTTATAATGGTGCAGATAGTTGTTAAAAGGGCAATAAATCAATAAAATTTAATTATAAATAGATGTATACTGTTATGAACTTAGAGCTGCTTAGGATAAAT